TACTTTGATTACATCATTTAAAGGCATCAGAAAAATAACTTCTATCCAGAGAACAGCAGAACATCATGAAACAGAAAGGAAACCAAAAACACATCTTAATGACTCTGATATTCCTTGTTTTCCACAGGGTGGGGATCTTCAATCCTGTAATATTAGGACACGACGTCTCAACATTGTCTCACGATCACAGATACATCGCAAAAGTTGGAGATAAAATCAAAATATCCAGGCCCGTAGCCAGCCTGGTGAAAGGATGGTTCTTTTTTCTCAAAATGTAGACCCTTTTTCAGTCATTTGCCCCATTTACTATTTAATTATGAGGTTTAAAAACTGCGTTTTAATGATTTTTTAAGCACTATTTTTTGCTGGATTAGCTTGTCGGATGGTCATCATAACCATACTTTTTATGCATTTCCTAAAGATTTAGAATAAAGTAATATGAAAACACAACTTATTTTTAAAATACGAAAATAATAATATGTTAAAGTTTTAAATTAATTAGGCAAATAAACTAGCTAGCACATTCAACCTTTCTCCGAATTCCTCACAACGTGACTTCTCGTTAAGTCACACCGTGCCAAATTCGGCGTCTCAAATTCTTTACCGACAGCCGACACAGGATTTCGCATGATCTTAAAACCTTTTTGAATTGGTTATCTACACAATTTAATATGAAATAGCAGTTAAAATAGTCCAAATGAGCTCATGTATGGGGCAAATTCTGCACCTGTGGGTCTTTCGAACCACCCGAACCCCCGCTGGCTACAGGGCTGATAATGTTTGACATGAAATACTAACAATCCTCGCGTAACCATGGGTGACCTATAAATGACTGAACTATATGAACTGCCAAGTAATGCATGTCAATTTCTAATCAAATGTTGCTGGGATATGACAAAAAAAAAATCGACATGCATGACATTAGTTTGGCCCGTCCTATGCAGTTTGGTGTATTCAGTAGCAATAAAGAAAAACAAACATTCAAAATCATATTTCATGAATGGCGTTTCAGCTGTACAAGTGCAGCCCTGTGAATCTTCCCTCGCACGAGAAGGGCTAGAAACAATATTTCAAATAGCTCTCCAATAATAGAGAAGTCAACAGAGATAAACATGTAATGATGCCAGGAGCCCACATCTAAATTTACAGCCTAATCATTGGCATGAAACGCATTTGACCCTTCGAAGGGCAGCAAACAAAACAGACGTAACTGGCACATCTTTGAGTGAAACTGAAATGTTAAAGCGCGATGCATCTTTCAAAAGCAGACCCATCTGATTGACAGTTTTGAAGTGGAAACATCATTCAAATACTACAGTAACATTAAGGCCACAATAACCACTCAACCTTCACATGCGGTTTCCTAGGTTCCAGCCTGGAAACCAGACAGTTTCAGTCATATAATCATTTCAAATCTTGATAATATTGCAGTCATTTTCTAAGTGGCTATATGTGTCCAAAAAAACAAAACAATGAGAGTTAATGAATCAAAGGCATACAGTACATGTTTAGCGAAATGAATCCTTTGGCAATGGAGAAAATCAAAACAAAATGATTTGATTACAGTTTGATAACAAACCTACACTAATCAATCCGACAAAGATATGTGAGCAAAATCACTGTGTAAAACGCTGAATTGGTGTGGATTTTCAGAGAAAGAAATATAAAGGAACTTGATTCAAAATATATATATATAAAAGATACAGGTACATAGATGCAAATATACTTGTTCTACAACTATTTGACTGACCAGGAAGGCAAGGTTAGAGCTGGTGTCACCTTACATAACTTCCTCCTGCTCGAAATGAAAAGCAAAAACCCACCTCGCCGAATAAAAAACAAGAATGAAACAGGACAGAAGCAAGCCAGCGTGACAAAAACCCCACTGCATCATTTAAAAAAAGGCCACTATTACAAAAAAGGGTGATATGACTTAATTTAACAAATTAAATTTAAATTTTAAATATTTTAATCACACACACAAAAAAAATGTGCTCGAAGGCTATAGTTCGATTCTATATCTTAAACATTCACGATTTCCAAACAAAAAGATATAATACTCGAATCCTGATAGTCGGCAATTTGAAATAAGATTCATTTGAACTTAAAATTTACGAGTTCATTCATTGTGTTACGTGCAAATCATTCATTTGCAAAAGTAAGGGTGGGCAAACAGTAGCAAACTCGAAGAGAGATAGGCTACCCCTGAAACATTTTGTGCAAACGTGACAATAGACATTTTTCCCCTCACCGCCCAGTGCAACAGCAAAGTAACCTCACAAACCATTGGATCTGTGCCAAAAACACTGGAAATCCCCGTTCAAAACCTAAAAAAAAAAAGAAGTAATTCTATCCTTATCATATTCAAACAATCCAACAGAAGCTTCTTGCAAGGCAAAACAGGATGAAAAAAAACTATTTTGTGAGATGAAACTCAAACGGTAATATACAACAGTCACACCTGTAAACCCTAACAACTCTTAACGGCAACACAAACTGGACGGGTCCTCAAGGCAATGTTTCTTAACCATGTTCCTAGAGGAGCACGAACACTGCATGTTTTGGATGTATCCATTGTCTGTCAAACACATTACAGTGGTTTGCTAATGATGTGGTGATCTGATAAGCGTACTGCGCCAAAGCCCAAGTGAACCGTGCCTGAGCCCGATTCAGAGCACTCACACTTTTCAAACGATCCAGCAAACGGGCCTGGGCACGATCTGGATAGCATAGTGTGAGTAGGCCCTGAATCAGATGTGTTTGGTTAAAAAGACACAGAAAATGTGCAGAGCTGGCGGTCCTCCAGGAACGTGGTTGAGAAACACTGCTCTAAGGAGACGTTTACATGACAACAATGCACTAAAAATGGAAAAGCTTTGCGCTTTTTTTTTTTAAAAAGTTGGATTTATAGAGTAATGGGAAATTCATTTGAGATTTTAGAGTTTCTCTGGATTTATTACAAACAAGTTTGATGTTTTTTGTCTTTCAAGTTTCAAACACAGTGCTGTCATTTAGAGCAATTTTTTTTTTTTCCAGAAAATGACCATTGGTCATATTAACTACTGATTTCATTCGTTGTGTTTAAAAATCAGGGTCATTCCTCCAAATATTGATTTTTACACTCATTTGCCCCTTTTTTTAGGTACACCTTACTAGTACTGGGTTGGACCCACTTTTGCCTTCAGAACTGTCTTAATCCTTCGTGGCATAGATTTGACAAGGTACTGGAAATATTCCTCAGAGATTTTGTATTAGATTTAACTAGGCATTTGTGCCCACAGAACTGCCGCTCACTAGATATTTTCCCTCTTTCGGACCATTCTTTGTAAACCATAGAGATGATTGTGCGTGAAAATCCCAGTAGATCAGCAGTTTCTGAAATACTCAGACCAGCCCATCTGGCACCAATAACCATGCCACATTTAAAGTCACTTAAATCACCTTTCTTCCCCATTCTGATGCTCGGTTTGAACTGCAGCAGATCGTCTTGACCATGTCTACATGCCTAAATGCTTTGACTTGCTGCCATGTGATTGGCTGATTAGAACTTGCATTAACGTACAGTTGGACAGGTGTACCTAATAAAGTTGCCGCTGAATGTATGTTGATTCATATCTATAAATACTACCTTCTGAAGTTAAACCATTGTTACTGTGTTGTCTAAAATGTAGATAAACTTAAAACATTGCGTATTTTTGGTTAATTTTGATCTGGAAAAAATTGTTTTAATTAAAATTTTGCTTTGCATTCGGAAATAAAAGTTAAGTTTTACTCAAACAAATGACAATAAAATGTAAACCCAGACAAACTGAGACCGTTGATTTTTCCATAGCTGTAGTAGACTAAACTGTTGTCAACATGATTCCCGTTCACACGGATCTGCGTAAACGACCAAAAAGGATGTATTATGCAAGGCTGTCACCGTAAAGAAACATTATGTGCCTGCACTGTAAAAAGCAATCACTTAATAAAGTGAGTAAACCCATTGCCTTAAAAATAACAAGTTGGTTTTATTTAAAAATGTAAGTATTTTTGTTGTAACTTAGAAGTGTCAAGTTCACTTAACTTCATTTTTTATAATTTTGAACATGCACTACCTGACAAAAGTCTTGTCGCCTTTCCAAGTTTTAGGAACAACAAACAATAACTTGACTTCTAGTTGATCATTTGGTATCAGAAGTGACTTAAATGAAAGGCAAAGGCCTCAAGATTACGCTTATTTGACCAAAATAAAATATGATCAAGCTGTGATTTTTCATTATTAGAACAGGAAGGTCTGTCTTTGCCTAGACAACTTCACTTAACAGAAATAACGGACAGTCTATAATATAAAGTCATGGTGCAGTGGTAAAAGAATTAATATTGTATATGACTCCCATGAGCTTGGAGGACTGCATCCATACATCTCTCCAGTGACTCAAATAACTTATTAATAAAGTTATCTGGAACGGCAAAGATAGCATTCATGCAGGACTTCCAGAGTTCATCAATATTCTTTGGATTCATCTTTAATGCCTCCTCCTTCATCTTACCTCGGACATGCTCAATAATGTTCATGTCTGCAGACCGGGCTGGCCAATCCTAAAGCACCTTGACCTTCTTTGCTTTCAGGAACTTTGATGTAAAGGCTGAAGTATGAGGAGCGCTATGTTGCTGAAAAATCTGCCCTCTCCTGTGGTTTGTAATGTGATGGGCAACACAAATGTCTTGATCCCTCAAGCTGTTGATGTTGCCATCCACTCTGCAGATCTCTTGCATGCCCCCATACCGAATTTAACCCCAAACCATGATTTTTCCTTCACCAAACTTGACTGATTTCTGTGAGAATCTTGGGTCCATGCAGGTTCCAATGGGTCTTCTCCAGTATTTGTGATGATTGGGATGCAGTTCAACAGATGATTCATCTGAAAAATCCCTTCTGCCACTTTTCCAAATGATCAACTAGAAGACAAGGTATTATTTGTTGCTCTTACAACTGGGATCGACGACAAGACTTTAAGTTGTGTAGCTCATTTAATTAGTAATTAGAAGGCAATGGGTATCCTGCATATATCCTAATCAATATGCATTTGCATGATGTCCCCATTTTTAACAAATTCATGTTTTTAAAAGTTTACAAAAAGACAGTGCAATCATTTTCCAAAGATTGCACTTTAAATGTTTTTCAAAATGCTGTTGTCATGTAAACCAACAGCCAAAGCGCAAACAACATTTCTCAGTTTTAGTTGAAAAATGTGTCATGTAAACGTCCCCTAAATCAGTTTGATTTCTGTGTGGGAGCACCATCGTGAGACGGCCTCTCACGTGGCAGTATGTGACTGTGTGTGTGCTGTGTTTAAAGCATTGCTATGTTCTCAGGAGTGCAGTTCAGATGGGTGGAGGTGCTGCTTCCCCCTGGAGATTTCAAACTCTTTGTTGTGGTACTGCTTCCCAGGGTGCCAGCTTGGACATCGTCTCCGATCATGACGCCGGGCCCATGCGATAGGTTCCGCTGGAGGCCGGCCAACATGGTCTCTGTTGTTACAGTTCCAAACTCGTAGGTAAAAGTCCCGTAGAAGATGAGGATGACCACTGTGAAGACCCATTCGCAGATGGCTGCTGCATGCTGTAAGACGAAGCTCTCGTGGATGAAGAATATCCCACCTGAGAGAAACCGTCAAGGACTCAAACCTTTTCAAAATTCATGCAAGGCACAGCTGGTCCCGACGGAATTAGATTTAGCGAGGAAAGTGGTGGATTATTTATGGAGCGACTGGTTAATTAGCTGCTCTCGTAGTTACATCACCTGGCAACCCTTTAGCTGCCTCCTTTCGTTCAGAGTGGAGAAAAAACAATTCATAAATCATTGACGAACACAGCAGCGATAAAGCAGGAAGGCCGGGAGACTCCAGCTGGCCTCATCTGTCTCCATGCCGACATTTACACCAAAGCAATTAGATTATACCTCTACTACAATATGAGTCAGGGGCTTGCTGATCGTGACTAGAACCTCAGCAGGAAGAGAAACAGATAAAAGCTCAGCACTAGGGCTTTCCTTGCTCTGACTGTGTGGGGAATTATTCACAGCTCATGCTAAATTGGAGAGTTCACACCCCAAAAAATTATAATTGAAATATCTTTTCATCCTGATAGTGTTACAAACCTGTATACCGTAATTGAAGAAAATGTCAAGTCCGCAAGTAAGAGTGATGCGAGTAAACCTCACCTCCCGAGCCTCAAGAGGTACACTAAAGGTGCCTTTTATACTACTGAATATGTTTTGTTATGGTTATGCTGGTGTCCACACTATGGCAACTTTGACCTATGAACAGAGCATTCTGCAAACGCTTGAAACGGCGATCGTTTTTCTCAAACAGTAAAAATGCCAGCCTGGGGTGCATTTCTCAAACAACGACAACTCACGGCTGAACTATCCTAGTGCGATGCATCATTTGGGAAAAGAACGATGTAGTGATGAGGGTTTTCAAAAACTACTTTCTCCATCACAGATCCATCGTTTGAATCATGTTAGTTATAATGTAAAACATCCATAGTGACCCTCTAAACATGGTGGAGTAACAACTTCTTTAGAGAAAAACCCCATCATATTATGTGCAAATTATTGTTTTACAAGCACACACATAAAAAAAAAAAATCCAATATTAGTTTTGGTAAAAATATGCACTTGCTTTCCATATTAATTGAAATATGTGTAAACGGCACTCATAGGGAATAGAAATATTATTGAGAATATTTCATACTTTATTCTAAAAAAAAAAAAAAAAACACTTAGTTAACACTCTAATCTTATGTATAAATCATGTCATTTTTAATGGTTGTAATTTACAGTAGGCTATTTATTAAGAAATAAAAAATCCTATCCTACTTATAAAGATATTTTTATTATTTTTTCATTTTAATCAATTTGACACATTCAAGCCACTGCAGAAATGTTCTTTCCAACAGGCCCATGTCATATACAGTACAGATTTCAGTATTATTTCTTAATAAATAACCTACGATGAATTAAAAGCATTACCATATGCTATATATTTTGTTTTTACAAGCTTTGGCTAAATTCCGCTTTTATATAATAGGTCACCTACAGCTTTCGTCATGAGCCACGGCTGGGTTCAAAAAAGCATAAATGTTTTCAAAGTGCACTACGAAGGGAGTGCAATTGTGAATATGAAGATCGCTAAAACTGAACTGTAAAAATACTTTGAAAGCAAATTACACCAAAGAGAGATGACGTTAATGCTGTTTTTTTTAAATCATTCCAAGTTTAAATGTTGGAACGTTTAAAAAGAATAGGACATGGGGGGAATAGAATACAACCAGGAACTATGCCCCTAACTACAGCTCTAGAGGTGTAGTTGCAAGCATACACGTTTGCAATGCAGTTTGCGAATGTTCGCTGGAACGATGGATTTGGGAAACGCCAAAGCAACAAACCATGTTTGTAACAACGGAACTTGTGACCTTAGTTGGCTAACAATGGTTTTCAGAAATGCAGCACTGGATGTGGATCAACTTAATTCTTAAACACTCTTTTAAAACTTATGTAATTTCTAAATTGAATAAAAGCTTACGGAATTTAAAAATTTTGTTTCATGAAATGAAGTGAACGTATGTATTGGCTCCTAAACACTGTTCACACTACTGCATCTTAATTTTAAAATGTATATGGTTTGTTACTGTAGTGTCTTGTGCCCACAATACTAATACACACAATACTAAAGGCTGATTTATACTTCTGCGTCAAGCGTACGCTTATGCTATGGCACAGCCTACGGGTGGACGCATAGCCCTCGCCGTGGGCTCAAAAAACCCACCTCTCAAAAAATTTAACTACATGTCGCAACGACGCGTAGCGCAAGCTCTGTGATTGGTCAGCTTGGTAGCACTGACGAGTGTGGGTGGGAACGAAAGCCATTGAGTCATAACAGGTAGATTGAAATGGCAAATTATGACAATGGAGGTGCAGATATATAAAATCCTCTCTGATTTTCTGGTCTGATTTGTCAAGCCACTCTCATTTGAATAATACTGGCACACTGCAAGTACAGATGCCAGCAAAATATGCACATGCAGATTAAAGGCTGATTTCTACTTCTGCGTCAAACGCATTCGTATGATCTGGCGCAGCCTTCGCGTGGTTGCATGCTGATGCCGACGTGCACCTCTCAAAAAATGTAACTACACATTGCAGCGACGAGTATCAAAACACTGCCAGCTAGCGTTTCAGAGGTGTTATTGCAGAGCAACTCAAACAGCACGCAGAAGTATAAATGCACGACTAAGTGCAAGGCATGCATTGTGGGTCACAGCGATAACCGTACACAGAAGTATAAACCAGCTTCGGGTGTGAATGGTCATGTATTATCCATTTTAGGCTGCATAGTGTAAACATAGATCTTTATTCTAAAACAGTAAAACGCCAGCCTGGACGAGGAACATTTTCATTCTAAAACAGAAAAACACTAGTGTAAACACAGCCTAAAGCCCCTTGTTTACCTCAAAAAACATTAAAGAATAAACTGAAATGGCGTATTTTCAAACAAAATCCGTTCTAAATTCTGAATAAAGTTCATTTTTGCAGTTGGAAACTTTATGGGGAGTTTGTATTGGCTCCTGAACAACTTTGAGCTGCCATTAGTCCATTACAATTACACAACTGTTGGGTGTTTTCAAGAGCTCCACTTTCTTTGATGTGCGATTGATTTGAATCTCATATCCACCAAGGTGAAACAGGAGAACAACATCCAAATCAACAACACCAAGTTAGCAGCATGATTTGAGTAGCAGTGCTGGTACAGATGTATGATGAACGATCGTTTGTGGACAGGTTTTAAAGACTCAGGTTTTAAAGAAGGGTCACACACTGGATGAGAAGAGCCAGCACATGCTGCTACGTTTTTTTTTTTTTGTGGTGTGCCTGTTCTGAGATGCAAATAGAAAAATAAGGGTAACAAACAAAAAAGCTATCCACGCATTAAAAAACAATACGAAGTTACAAAAGTATAAACTTATCATAAAACTAGTTTCCTGGAGCAAGTGTAAGGAACTATCTTTGTGTGAGGAAATGAAAGTAGCGTCAAAGGCAGTGGGCTTGTTGTTAATTAAAAAAGACAAGTTTACCCAGACTAAATGCTTGTGGATGTCCAGCAAAAATGTTTCACAGATAAATAAGTCACAGAGATTTGGAACTTGAAGGAGAGTTAAAAAAAACCCCTCTCCCAATAAGTAAAAAAATGCCTTTATAGACTACTCTATACACTCACCAGCCACTTAGTTAGGTACACCTTACTAGTACCCCTTTTGCCTTCAGAACTGCCTTAATCCTTTGTGGCATAGATTCAACAAGATATTGGAAATATTCCTGAGATTTTGGTCAATATTGACATGAAAACATCACGCAGTTGCAGTTGTAGATTTATCACTTTTTTATCCCAAAGGTATTCTATTGGATTGAGTTCTGGTCACTGTGGAGGCCATTTCAGTACAGTGAACTAATTGTCATGTTCAAGAAACCACTCTAAGATGATTTGTGCTTTATGACATGGCGCGTTATTCTGCCGGAATAAGCCATCAGAAAATGGGTACACTGTGGTCATAAAGAGATAGACATGGTCAGCAACAATACTTAGGCAGGCTGTGGCGTTGACATGATGCTCAATTGGTACTAATGAGCCCAAAGTGTTCCAATAAAATATCCCCCACACCATTACACTACCACCACCAGCCTGAAACGATAATACAGGTCAGGATAGATCCAAGCTTTCATGTTGTTAACACCAAATTCTGACCCTACCATCTGAATGTCACAGCAGAAATCAAGACTCATCAGACCAGGCAAAGCTTTTCCAATCTTCTATTGTTGTGTGTTCAGAGATGCTCTTCTGAATCCCTCGCTTGAAGCAGTCTGGCCATTCTCCTCTGACTTCTGGCGTCAACAAGGCATTTGTGCCCACATAATTGCCGCTCACTCGATACTTTCCTTTTTTTTTACTATTCTCTGTAAACCCTAGAGATGGTTGTGTGTGAAAATCCAGTAGATCAGCAGTTTCTGAAATACTCAGACCAGCCCGTCTGGCACTAACAACCATGCCACGTTCAAAGTCACCTAAATCACCTTTCTAACCCATTCTGATACTCGGTTTGAATGGCAGCAAATTGTCTTGACCATGTCTACATGCACTGAGTTGCTGCCATGTGATTGGCTGATTAGAAATTTGCATTATTGAGCAGTTGGACAGGTGTACCTAATAAAGTGGCCATTAAGTGTACAGTCTACAGTCCAAAATTCCTCAAAAGAATTTCAAAGGATTAACAAAATGGATGAAGAATTTGCATTTGGGATGAACACTGCCTTTAAATAGCAACAGTTCAGATGTGAACACAGATCTACATAGTCAAGTAGTCACTGTTTGTATTATACTCAACAAAAAAAGGATACTGAGAACCAGTGTGATGAGAGCTCCAGTAGCCAGAGCCACGCGCACATGAGCCATCCAGTAGTCCAGAGCTGTGACAGCCACCCTGTAGGTCAGCAAACACTGCAAACACACGAACAGAATTCCGGCAGGAAAGGCGGCGCCTGCACCCACATAGTGAAGTTTTTTAGCGTGGTCCACCTGGACAAAAACACAAAGAATCGTTATTCTAATTATAATAATACAATCAAAGCACTGAACACAACAAACCAAGACACTGATACGTGACAGCTGGCAAACTTTTGAAGCATCTAACTTGAAAGACACAGTCAGGTTTGTCTTCCTGCAATGGGAAACTTGCCTGCTGCACACTCAGCACGCGGATGGAAGTGCTATTAAGGATGAGGGAGTGGAATGCCCTCTAAAATCCATTGTGAAGAATGAGACGGCTGCATGCATGGATCAATACTAATCACTTTGAGAACATCAGCCTTTCTGAAACACTCTGGTGCTGATCAACGCATCAGTCTGATGCACTGAATTTATAGCCCATGAAAGACTGAGGAGTCAGCCCCTAATATCTTTTCACACAGCTCTACCAAAAGCCCAAATGTATGATGTCGTTTTTGGTTTCAGGGATGTGTATGGGAATTATTGTTAGATGATGGTTATCAGACAATAACCACTGGTGGCAAAGCAACTTTACGTCATCAATTCAGTACTTAAAGGGATAGTTCACCTTAAAAACTACAACTTTGGCAGCATTTACTAATCCTCCACTTGTTCCAAACTTGTTTGAGTTTCTTTTTTTTTTTTATTTAAAGAAGATATACTGAAGAATGTTAGGGAAAAAACCTGCCATTGACTTCCATAGTATTTTTTGTACCTACTATGGATGTCAATGGCTACTTTTTCCCAACATTCATCAGAATAACTTGTTTTGTGCAGGACATTCATAAGTTTAGAACCACTTGATGGTGAGTAAAAGGTGAGGACATTTTCATTTTTGGGTGAACTATCCCTTTATGGGATTTTCCAACTTCCAGTACTTTGGAATGGAGTGGAATAATAGGTCAAGTAGATAGAAGCAAAGACCTGTGATTCTGCCATTTTGGAGCGATCAGCCATCAATTGGATCTTATTGCTGACGTGATGGCAAGCAGCTGCTTTGTTTTTTATTTATTTAATTAAATAGCGCATTAAAGCTGAAATAAGACCAGAAACAACTGGGGCCTCATGTACGAAGACTTGCGTGGAAATCATACTAAAACACTGAAAAAAATTCAGATGTATAAAACACTGCGTACGCTGAGTCCCACGCATATTCTTATGTACATTCGAATGAACGTGAAACTGAGCGCAACATGCACGAGCACAAAACCCCTCCCTGCCTCCTCCCCCTTATGAATATGCTAATGACTCTACTTTGGCAAAACCCAATGAAAAAGCAATGGCAAAAGCAAGCCAAAAGAGAAACTTTGAACAGAATGTGAATTGGAGGTGCTCCTTTTGGAGGTAGACCAGAGAAAAGCGGTGTTATTTGCAAGTTTGTTCTCCGGAATTAACAACAAAAGAAAAAAATTGAGTGGGAGAGTTTAGCTGATGTGATTAACACAGTTGGAGTGAATTGGAAAAGAAATAGTGTGATTTATGGGTGTAAAATGTTGCAGCGCTTTGAACAGTCTCTGTGGCGCAGCTCGTAAAACGCATGTCAACATGTTTTGAAACGTTCGAGCATGAACTCGGTTCGAATTCAGCGTCTGATGAATTCTTTATTCTTTTTCGCCCCGCTACATATCAGATCTTGCCTACTATTTATCACGAGAAAGACAAGTAGGAATCATTAATAAGTTTGTGCATCATATTTTATTTGCACATTTATTGAATGGAAATGTTTCTGATTCACGCATGCAAATTCATCTTCAGATAGTGTCTTTATAGCAATGTGCGTGCAGTAGATAGCTCAGATTACATTGGGAAAACAGGCAACCGCTGCAAATTGTGCTTTAATGTTTAGCTGGTCAACTGTATGGTATGGAAATCTTATATACTCGCTAGATGAACCCGTCTCATACAGCTGCCATTGCCAGGCTCAGACACTTTGTAGAGAGGAATTTAACAAAACTGCCTCTAGGAGTCGCCAATGAAAATAATACAGACACGCACAAAAAATGTGCGTACGCCAGCCATAAAGCTGGCGTGGAGCTGCACACATTCCCACATTCAGTTCATTGTTAGTAAATCCAAACGTAAGCGATTCTGAGCGTGAAACCTGGCGTACGCAAAGTTTTTGTGCGTACGCAGCGTTGATACATGAGGCCCCTGGTGATTATTAGCGCTTTTAATAGTTTATTTCACAGATTTTTATAATACTTTCATTCATATTTAACTCAACATTTTGAAAACGTTAGGTTATCTGTGCTGTTGTTCTATTGGAATTTTCATTCCAAAATGACAGAGTGTCGCCTCTTGGTGATCCAATGCTCTTTGAGAGTAGTTATATACAAATAAGTTTTTCCTTGTCTTGAGTAGGAAAACATAGACACCGAGACGTGATGGCTAATTAACAAACAATATGATTCTTTTGAGCTAACCTTATAAACTAGATTGCAAATTCCAATGAGTCATATGTGAATTGGACTGCAGCGATTGCATCTTTTCTCAAGTCAACAACTCAACAATTCCTGTGTGATCAGTTAACGGGTGTATTTCAAAATGAGCCAAGACAAAGGAGATCATCAAAGCATGAGAGTGTGCATCTAAATGGCAAGAGAAGCTACTAATGCAGAATATAGGATAATTATAAAGAAAAATCCTAATTCTTAGTAGTTTGTAAGCTAAATTTGTTGTGAAGGGCAAGATGTTTAAGCTCAACGTATGTCCATATTAGTATATCACTGTCTGAATTGAAAATGGTTTTATTTTAACTAAACAAAAGGTTAAAACAATGCAACCTCATGCCCATGGGCCTCTACGGCAGGGGCCCTTATTATTTTTGTACTTCTTAGTAAATTTGAAAATGAGTACTATTTATACAAGTTATGTCCCAAATGTCATCCTATGTACACACTACACTTATACATTATAGACTTTTGTACTTGTACATTCAACCATGTACTGCATTGTTGCATCCCAATTTGCATACTATCTATCCTATTGAATAGTATTCAAAAATAGAATTCACGTTTTCCATTATGTGCATTCTCCCATGGCAGGGCGCCATACTTAAATTCATTCCCACCACGGCTACATTACATCTTCTCATTCAAAACCTTATATTGTTGCTGTTTTTTTTTTTCTTTTTAGAAGGTTATAATTGCACCAAAACATAATAAAATGTAAGTTAATTAAAACAGAGTAACTCGTCTGTAATCGTAGTACATTTTACATTTACATTTACATTTAGTCATTTAGCAGACGCTTTTATCCAAAGCGACTTACAAATGAGGACAAGGAAGCAATTTACACAACCAAGAGCAACAATGAATAAGTACTAAAGGCAAGTTTCAGGTCTGTAAAGTCTAAGAAGGGAAGTGTTAGTAGTTTTTTTTTTTTTTTTTTTTTTTTTTTTTTTTTTTTTGTACAATTAGTGTGATATTCAAAGAGGCAATTGCAGCTTAGGAAGTGAAGTGGAGACTAAATAGTTGAGTTTTTAGTCGTTTCTTGAAAATAGCGAGTGACTCTGCTGTTCTGATGCAGTTAGGGAGTTCATTCCACCAACTGGGCAGATTGAGCGTGAGCGTTCGCGAAAGTGATTTTTTCCCTCTTTGGGATGGAACCACGAGGCGACGTTCATTCACAGAACGCAAGTAGTAGTGTTGTGCGTTATTTGTTTAACCCTTTAAGATAACTGACTGACAGGTGTGTGATGCCTGAGGCTAGCAAACACAACTTAGCTTTCAGTTAAGATGAAAACAGTTTCCATAGCTTTACCTTATTTATAGATTAATGTCTATGCTTCTGCATGCAATGAATTTATCTTGTTGAAGTTTATGGCAGTTTCACTTTACGTCAGGATGCATCAATGTCGTTCTGTAGGAGTATTGGAGACATTCAAAAATATTCATAAATATTCCTAGCAAACCTAGAAAATGTAGGGAGACATACTCGTTGCATAAACGCACTAAATCGCACTTCAGCATCGTTTATTTAAAAGCGCAGAAGAAAATCTGTGCTTAAGCAGCATATATTTGAGGGCTTGCAAAAAGTTTTGTGCATGAATAGAGAAAATCAGTGCCGAAGCAAAGAGATTTGCATGCTCATATTACATGAATGCAATCTCGACTTGTAATACTGCACTTTTCAATTTGTCATTGAAATAATGCCATAGGCAGTTGGAAGATCAGTGTAAAAGGCCTGCCACCACAGCCAGAAAAAATCCTGGAGGAAACACTGGAATTAGTTTGTCTCAGACCATAGTATGTTGAAAAGAGTGTGCCAAAGGTTCCTGGATGGTCCACTATTTCTTGTAGAAATACTAGTCCATACTCTAACCGCTAATATCTAACCGCTAATACATTGCACATTAGATGTGAATTTAATTAGAATTACAAACTCGGGTAAACAAGCTACAAACATGGCAGACACGCAAGACCAACAGTCAAGTAGAGATGCTTTGGAAAAGTTGTTTGAATGACTATTAATTAATGTTTTTCCAACTGGAAAATATTTAAATCAGGTTTTCCGTGTTAGATTTCATTTACAACAACAAGATGTGGTTGGAAATTAACTTTTGAATGCATAATTATCCAAAAACCTGAAGATATTTCTCTGCATGAAAGACCAATAAATGACAGATTAACCTGCTGCTGCCTCTTTAATAAGGTAGGTAATTATATATGAAAAAAATGTGGATGATGATGTGTGGAGATAATTGACATGGGACATGACTAAGCAAGAATAACGAGTCCTTTAATGAGGAAGTAGTATGTCCCAAAGCTTGCATACACTTCTGTTACACACTCAAAAAATTATATACTTTTTTCCCACATACTTTTAGGATGTAGTATAACTATGTGAATTGGAACACTAACGTTTTATAAGTAAACAGAAATTCTAGCTGTTTCTCAGGGAACATTTCAGTTGCTAAATTAGTGAAATAAATGACCAAACTACTAAATAATACCTCACTAGAATAATTTTGATAGCACAATCCAAAATAAAGTAAACTCATCACCAAATAGCCCCGTCCATTCCGCTACATAAGCAAAGCTGCAACCGTTCAATGCTCGAAATGTCCAACATTCCACACTATTTTTAACAGTTGAATAAGTGCAGCATCCAGGTACTTTCTGTGTGACTGCACTACTTGTACTATTAATACTACAAAATGGCATAAATGCACCTATAATATATTTAATTACTCAAGTACTCTGCACTGGCAAAAACTCTTGTAACAGAGTCAAGGCAAAGCCGAGTGACTTACTGTACCTGGAAGTTGCCCACCATGACGAGTCCCACAGCATTGGTGCATCCGGACACAAGTCCACTGGTGTTGAGCCAGCAGTGGTTCCTGTGCTCGATGATCTGAGCATACCGTAGTAAACACACCATCACCACTACACACAAAAAAACAACAGAAACAGAGTAAAGAAATCAGACTTAAATCAAATTTATTTTGTTGTAGTTTTTTATATATATAGCATAGATGTTTATTTAAGTGTTGACTATTTGCAGTATAGTTTTTAAAATATGCTGATAATAATTTTTTTAATTATTAGAAGGCTATCAAAAGAAGTAATTATGCCACGCTTAACAATATATATTAAATATCTTGTCAGGTATATTTAGAAAAATAATCATTTAATGACATATTCAATGACTCTTTATTTCGAGGGTGGTGTTGCAGCTGCATAACACAAATTCATTTTGTTATTTAATTATTCATTCATTCATTCATTTATTTATTTTCTTTTCAGCTTAGTCCCTTTATTAATCCGGGGTCGCCACAGTGGAATGAACCTCCAACTTATCCAGCAAGTTTTTACGCAGCGGATACCTTTCCAGCCGCAACCCATCTATGGGAAATATCCACCCACACACACACACACACACACACACACACACACCGGGCTTAACCGGAGCATCCGGAGGAAACACACACAAACGCAGGGAGAACATGCAAACTCCACACAGAAACGCCAGCTGAGCCGAGGTTCAAACCAGCGACCCAGCCACCTTCTTGTTGTGTGGCGACAGCACTACCTACTGCGCCACTGCTTCTCCCTGTTATTTAATTAATTTATTAATAAATAAATCAATTCTTAAATTAAAATCTTTATACTTTGCTCCTCTTTGTTATCATTCAATACATGTCTGTTACTCTAAATGACAATAAAACATTTTCAGTTGATGCATATTTTGACAGTTTAAATAGAAAGTTATTTGAAACAATAGACATTTCCCTTGCATTTAATGATATCTATGTACATAAATTCACTTTCATCTATTTGATTTGATACAGACACCACAAACGGGATCTGTAACCCTTGATCAACATATACTTTAAATGCGAGGTAGTATTATTTCAAAACATTAGTTATTTAAAACATCAGACAGTTCACTCGCATTTAATATGATATCCATGTACATAAATTAACTTTCATCCATTTGATTTGATGCAGACACCAAGAATGGGATCTGTAATCCTTGATTTACATACACTTTAAATGTGAGCCTGTATTAAAATAATCAAACATTACTGGAAAAAATTGTTTTGAATTGTTTTTACTTTTTGTTCAATCAAAGAACTGCTGATCTGTATGTATACACTAAATTCAAGTTACTTGATTTGATATTTTGCTATATAATGCAAAAATAGTTCTCATACACTTAAAGCAGGGGCTTTTGCAACCACAATATTAGCATTATACATTACTCTTTAAGCTGTACACACTTATACAATTCCAATGCTTTTAAAGTTCTAATTATTAGATCTGGATCTCTTATATGTTATGGTGTGCTGTGAAAAACTGTAATACCCCCTCCCAATTTCACATCAACAACAACACAAGTAGAAGCAGATGAAAGACAACCTTTAACAAGACAAGGACAATTCACCCATAATTAGGACCACAAAATATATGGTTTTAGCAGTGATATTGCACTCTAATCATACGTAATAGTCACATTGCAGGATATGCAATGTTGAGTCTGAGTTTTAATTCATCATTTGTTTTTCATTCACATTTTGTTTTTATCATGGGTTTTTGAGGCCTGTGGTTGTATGAGGATTTTAAAAGCATTTAAGTCTAAAAATTGTACCATCTGTAACTTTAACAATTCTTAATTTTATTGATTTATTTTAAAAACGTTACAAATACTGTTAGACTCCTCAGAAAACAATTAAACATTGTTTATTTTATTAGTATTTTATATTCTTTATTGCATTAATCTATGCTTGTTTACAGGGCTTTACATTAACACCCGCCAAGCCGCCAAATGTGGGTAGATTTCAGCTTTGGCGGGTTTGACAGACATCTCCACTAGCCACTTTGGCTGATTGAAAATAATTTTTAAATTGTAGTTTTTCTAAAAGCAGGGTTCGACAATATAAAGATGGCCCAATATGCGTGCAAATGTGATCTTAGAATCGAGAAGTAAAATAATTGTGATCACGCGAGCAGAAGAAAGCAAATGAATACCGAATGAGAGGATGATGATCACTCGCGCTAACAGCTGATGTGATGCGCGCGACTTCTTAAAACGCGTGCGCGCTCCCGAATCGTGAAGCAACTGTGTCTGGAACAGGTTCTGGAAATGCAACTGTCATCGGTTCGCTTTCAAATAACTAGACAAATAGTGATGAACATGCACCCACAGTCCTGATGCTTTTAAGAGCTCAAAATGTGTCTTTTTGTAAGCAGCACCGGTTGCTTTCACTTTTAACAGATTATTAAACGGCCTAAAGTTTACCGTGCGCATGTGATCATCCTTTCATTATCACACACGGTATGTTTCATCTGCTTTATTTGCTTACTGTTTTATTTGCATTTGTTTTTGTTAAAATGGTTTAATTAGATTTTTTTTTTTACAACATTGCTTTAATGGGAGATGAACTCTCTATTTAGCCAATGTGCAGTCAACTGGTGATCCAAGAGATCTTTAGTCACGACAGATTACTGTGCATATTTTTGATACAAGACAATAGTTATTTTTTTTCAAAAGTCAATTGCTTTTCTTTCATCTTTAAGAAATGTTTTGTTAAATAAAAAGTATAGTATACAGCTATATTTTGCTTGTTTTGAAATTTTTGGCTAAGAAACAATTATTGCTTAGTGTGGTTATAGAGATAAATTTGGTAAATCGTTAATTTTGAGCTCTAAAAAAAGTCATGTGAAATAAAAACTAATTGCAATATAACACTATAAAACCCTGACCCATTTGCTCACTCTCATTGAGCAACCTCATACTCGACACACAAAAAGTGAAATGAATGAGGACGCATGTGGACACAGCACAAAATTTAAATCAAGTAATTTTAGCATGTCAACGTCAAATTTAAGCATATAAAATATATTTTCCCAACAACAAAATTGTGGCTAGTGAAAATGCAGAGTGGCTAGTAACATTGGAAAACTACTAGCCACAATGGCCGGTGATTAAAAAAGTTAATGTAAAGCCCTGCTTGTTTATATATTTTATGTAGATGCACTCCCTTACAGAACCAGACATTCTTTCCAGATTAAAATAAAGTCATGTAATGAAATTATACAGTACTTGTATCGCAATATATAAATCGCAGAAAAAAAAAATATCGTAAAGTTAGATTTTTTACAGTATAGTGCAGCCCTACAACTAATCCCAAAACACAAAAATATCAGCTCAAACATTGCACACCACATAATGAATCAACACAGTTAAAACATCCAATACATGATGACACAATAAGAGCAAGTGTGCTTAAACAAGTACATATTTTTGCAGCACCTCTGCTATTAAGGTCCATCAGCATTGATTGCAAGCCTGCTGACTGCTTCCATTCATGCTTTTGTTCTCTGTTATTTAATATGTCACTGCCGGTGTGGAATATGTGGAAATATGAGAACGTGTGGTCTTACCCATAAAAGCTCCCACATTACCGATAAGACTGAACAGACAGCTCTCGGGAGGGTAGGATCCACATTTACTGCATCAAAGTTAAGACAAAGGCATTGTTAGATCGTGCCGGAAATAAACCCAGACTGGAAAGAGAGAAGAGGAAGAGGCTTAAAATAAAGCGCTACCTGATGAGGGGGATGTCTTGAAGGGTGCAGCATGTTTTTGGGAAGCCCGGTTTGGCTGTTTCTTCTGTGCACGTCACATTGTATGACCTTTAAAACAGCGACAGTCAGATAGCATAAACACCACGTGTTCTTTGTGAGCGGAGCAAAACAAGGGCAGCTTACCAGTTTTCGACAGGACAAACATGGTGGTTCATTACAGCCATAGCATATCTGAGGAGAAAGCAAAACGTGGTAAACCTTTAGGGCACAATTTAAGGTATTAACAGACCATTAACAAACACTACTAGCTTAATAAACTACTTATTGTCTGTTGATTAATTGTTAGTAAAATTAGAAGTTGGGTTTAGGTTTTAAGTAGAATTAGAGATGCAGAATAAGATCAACTTTATAACTGCTAATGAACAGTTAATATGTTAATAATAGGCAGGTAATTAAGCAAGTGGTTAATAGCAAGAATTGTGACCTAAACTAAAGTGTTACCCTAAATGTTTTCTTAAGTTTTAGACTTTTTTGTCTTGTTTTAAGTCCAAATATCTAAAGAAGCATTTTCTAGACAACCAAAATGTATTGGGCACTATCATACACCCGGCACAATAAAGCGCAAGACAACTGTGGCGTGATATGATGCTATTATCAGATCAGTGCAACCCTAAGTTTCAAGTTTTGCGCCATGTTGTTTAAATAGCAAATAATAGGATGTGTGTTTGGATATAGACATGGGATGATAATCGGTTTCAAGGTTTACCGCGGTTTGTAAAAGTCAAGATTTTAAAACCACTAACATTTTCTGTTACACCGTTCCTAAGGTATACGTTAGGTTTTTTGAAAATGTTTTCAATGTGTTGTAAAGAAGTTTGTGCTTTTGAAATTAATAAAGATAGCAGAAGTCAATGATTTATATTAATTATATAGCCGGACATGTTTACTGTTCCAAGATATTATAAATGTTTCCTGAAATAAAATATATTGTGTTCAATATGGGAAAAGAACTCATTTTAGAGCAGTAATCATAATACAGTGATACCATGGTATTCTATCCAAGGTTATCATAGCGTCAGAAACTTATACTGGCCCATGCCTACTTAGATATAACTCAGTTTTTTGACCACACTTCATTATTATTGTTTATTTATTTGTTTGCTGGAAATTAGAACTGAATTTGAAAAAAAGCTTTGAAACAAATCTTTGCGCTTAAACAAAATTAAATATGTAGACTAATGGATGTTTCCTTACTCCACAAAAGTAAAGGAGTAAAGTAAATAGTAACAGTAAAGTAAAGAGAAAGTAAAGAGGCTAAATGGAGGAGGCCAATTCTTTATCCTCGCGCAGATGGTTTGTTTTCTTACTGGTGAGGCATTCAGTTTTTCCAGATACAAGTTTCGCCATGTAAATAGCAAATGCACCCAAATGCGATGCAACAGACTTATAAAGGGAATAGGAGTTGAGACTCTGATTGGTTTAAAGCACGTTATGCTCAAAACACACCCATAACTCATTAAGAGAATAAGTGATACCCTGTTAAACCATGCAGCAGGGTGCAAACCCTATTTTTACATCCTTAAAATAGCAAAAGTGGATTCTGACTTACCTTAGACTTTGAGCCTAGATCGTTAAAATAGAGCCCTTTGTGTTGTTTTCAGAAATATGTCAAAATTAAGTGAGTTTTCCTTAAAACAAGCTAAATAATCTGTCAATGGGGTAAGCAAATTAATCTTTTGTCAAAACGAAAAACAAAATGATTTTGTTCCATTCGCAAATTATTAACAGTCTAAACCAGGGACACAACTCGGTTTAGTTTCAAGCCTAATAAGACAGGCCTGAACCATCTAATCAATCTCTCTCTAGGTATACTAAAAACTTCCAGGCAGGTGTGTTGAAGGAAGCTGGAGCTAAACTATGCAGGATATCGTTTCTCCAGGACCAAGTTTGGGCACCCCTGACCTAGACAGTTAGATATTGCTTCATTGTTTTACAAGCTTTTCTCAGATAGTCAATAAAAAAGTTGAATAAACATTAATCCTCTTACATATAGCCCCTTCATGTTTTGAGCTGTTTCATAGTCACAGGTTACAGCATGATAAACTCACACTATCCATATGCCAGTGATGGAGAAGGCAGCCAGGCTGACAGGCAGTATGATCCAGGCAGTCATTGGTCTGACGGTGGGGCCGGTCTGTCCCAAGCATGAGGGGGAGGAACACAGAGGGCTGGCGGGGTGAGACACGGGGGGGATGACGAGGGGGCACTGACATGCAAGGACACACAGGGAGGGGACATGAGAGGAGGAGAGGGATGCCACGCTTGCTCCTTCCTTCCGGCCGCCAAATCCAGGCCTGATCAGTGTTTTTTTGTGGGAGGGGTGGGGGGGATAAAAAGAGGGTGAAAACTTAAAAACTTCATGGGAGAACATGTTATTGACATATTCAATTAAAATAAACAACCCAGGCTCATTCTAAAAACGTACCTCTATATACATTTCCGGAGAGCACCAAATACTTGCCAGAAGTTTTTTTTTGTTTTTTTTTTTGCTTTTTTTGTTTTCGAGAATCCATTAGAGGCTGCTGTGTACGTTTTTTTGAAATCTCAAATTTCTCTCGTAAGTGCCATTCGCACCTGTGTACTCTTTTTGAAATCTTAAATTTCTCTCACAAGTGCCATTCGTCCCTGCTGTTTGACTGACTGTATGACTGACTGACCGATCGACTGACCCACCCTCTTCTCTCCCTAAACCCAACCTATAGTGTTTTCAAAAGCATCGACTTACCCGCCCACCCCCTCCCCTTAACCCAACCGACAGTTTTAAAAAACAATCCAGAAAAAGAAAAGCCATTTTTTTACCACGTTTTCAGATTTTACCACATTCTCACACTGTTATTTATTTTTTATTTAATTTTTTGGATTATGTTTTTTTCTTTTGCGCCTTCCGCAACCATTCTTCATCGCCGACATACATGGCAAGCTACTGGACAAACTGGTAACAGTGGAAAAAAAAACATCCATACAGAGGTAAGCGATCAGCTAGTAAGCGTGAAAAGGTACGACGTCATATCTACATTTATTCATACATTTTAAAAACACAATGGAGCCATTCGTACTTCACTTCTGGCTACATAACTCTCAATCTCCAGAAATGTATATAGGGTTTCAAAATGAGCCTATGTTGAAAATAAACATTACAGCAGACAAACCTTAAAGACATAAAACATAACCCCAATCGATTTTACTTCTACAAAATGACATTTTGCAGAGCAAGACAGTTGGCTCATTACGGGAAAAAGGCCAAATATACAGTAAGAGTGATTGCTGACATTTGCTCTATGGTTAATAATGTGGTAAAATGTTTGAAGTGAAAGTTCACATAAAAATCAAAGTTATCCTATATTATACTCTTAAGCCATACTTGATGCTTTTGTTATTTGAAAAAAGGAAATAACAAAGCTTTATAATATCTTATCTCTCCAGGTTTTTTGTAGCTCTAAAAAGCACATCCATTCACCCATCCATCATAAAAGTAATATACATGACTGTAGTGCATAAAACCTCTGAAAGTGAAGCGACTTTAAAACTTTTTTTAAAGAGTTTTAAAAATTGTATTAATATCCTTCTTAAAACAGTGAATTCATATGTATATCCAAGATTGTCCTTCCTCATACTTCATAACTCTGTACTCTCATGAATATATATATATACAGCAGTTAGGGCTGGGCCGATAAATGATATTATATTGAATCGCGATAAAATTGATGTCATTAACAATGATAAGCTCTGAACTTTTTTTTTTTTTTTTTTTTTAACTCTTTATTGATCTAAGAGCCAATCACACAACAGACATGTGCAACAATGGGATTGTAAAAATGTGTTGATATTAGACATACTGAATTTTCGGCCACCGGAAATCTATCAGCTGAAAATAAGTTATATCATTTAATAGAACAAGTCATTGTTATGATACACTTTTATAACTGGAAGCATTAACAACTTATATCGAAATATATATCGTTATCGTTCAATATGGAAAATGATTAACAAGACTGCATTTTTGCCATATTGCCCAGCCCTACTGGAAGGTTTATCTTTTTTTTAAAAAAATATGGATAATTTTCTGCCAAAGACCTATTGCCTTGTCTTAGAAAAACAACAAATAAACCACTAGTCTTTTGGAACTAGGACTTTTGGAAAACACAATTCACCCGCATATTTTCAAATATAAATGTATAAGTCAAACACCTAGATCTTCCAGCTGATATAAGCAAAGTAAAATCCTTTTCAAATACATCTTTAAAAAATTCACCATCCAATTCTTCACATTTCTGTATTTCATTATGCTCAGTTTTGCTTATATTTTTGGTTTTGGAAAGCTCCATTTAAAGACACTTAATTAAAGTTAATTATTATTACCACTAACCATAACAAAAAGTATTTTCAGAGTGGAGAAAGTTATTGCAACTTCATAATCACCTAAACATACTAAATTACCATAGAAATAAAAAGATGTGCAACATATGCTGTACAGTTGCTTATCCAAATAGTATACTTTCAGTTCTGGTCTGATGCAGTTTTATACTGTGGCAGCCCTTACAAGTACAGATTCCTACCACATTTTGCTAGTCTAGCCTTTAATCAGCCAAACAGAAACCACACCACACCCTTCCTGATCTCATTTCACCAGCTCTCAGTTGTGACCCAAATCAAATTTACAGTTGTGTTTCAGGACTATTGCAGGAACATCTCATCAGTGCAAACGTAAAGTCGACATTTGTGCTCTTCATCCCCCTTAACACCAAATATCAAGACACATTTTTAAAGGTTGTTTCTTTTTTAAAGTTGCTTTGGGAAAAAAAGTGTCATGCATTAATTTGAGGAAGAAATGGAGGCAGTAGCAAATCGTTCCTTCCTCATTGTGCACACACATTGGGCAACAGATTTACTAAAAATGAAGACTAAATGGAGAGTGAGGTTTTGGTTCTATCTAGTTGTTGATTTGATGGAAATGGAGAGAGCAAAGGTTTAAAGGAATAGTTCATCCAAAAATGTCATATAACCCATAATTTACTCACTCTTAACCATCCTCTGTGTATATGGCTCATTCCTGATGAATACAGTCAGAGTAATTTTACATTTTATCCTGTGTATAAAGTTTCTCTCTTATGCTGCAAAGGTGTCAATGTGTCTTATGAAGCAGTTCCATGTGTTTTTGTAACAATTTTTTTTTTTAATTATAAACTCAAATGACTGACTTCTGACTTGATGTATGATGCATGATGATGATGATGGTGTACTCCAGTTCAAACAAATATGAAAAAAAAAATCTTCTCTTACAGTGAAATCTTCAGAAATTTCTTGATTTCAATAACTTTCAATTAGTTACCAGTGCTACTTGTCTTCAGCTACCTTGTGCAACACTATAAAAATAGTGTTAACTCAAAATCTCTGCAGAAATTTGCCTTCACTTTTAACTGAGTTGAGTCAAATTTACTTTACTTCACGGTGTACAGTTTGTATCATGCATAAGTGACATAAACATTTAATTTTTTACAAAATATTTGTAATATAAACATATACAGTTGAAGTCAGAATTATTAGCCCCCCTTTGAATTTATCATTCTTTTTTAAATATTTGCCAAATGATGTTTAACAGAGCAAGGAAATTTGTTACAGTACGTCTGATAATATTTTTTCTTCTGGTGAAAGTTTTATTTCGGCTAGAATAAAAGCAGTTTTTAATTTTTTATAAACCATTTATAAACCATTTTTTATAAAACATTTTATTATTATTTTTATTTAATTATTAGCTCCTTTAAGCTATATTTTTATTTGATAGTATTTTACAGTGCTTTAAAAATACTCAAAGATGGCTCTGTTAATGTTTTTAAACTATTATATTTATTTTACCAAAATCCCACAAGTGCCAATTTCACATGATTCACATCTATTAAGGAAAAATGTCACATCTGTAACAGAGCTTTTTCCTCATAAATGCAAAATAAAATAAAATCAATTATTTTTGTTTTATAGTGAGCCAACTCTTCGCCTTTTGATGAGCATTATTTCTTTTGGGTTGTGCAGTTTAATTCACAGAATAACAAAATTAAGTAGGGTGTATACTGTAAACTCACAGACTTTTTTTGTCACATCCATAACCCATGTTCATTTCCCTCATTTATAACATAAAATTAGTTTCCAGATTGATATTTTTCTGCTCCCAAATCTTTGTGATTAGTTGTTTTGGAAAAAAATATGTTTCAATATAATGTTAAAATACACTTTCTATGTGAATTTATGTTTTAAGATTTTACTGCAAATGTCCCATCTATAACACTGGAATTGCTCATATATATTAACAAAAACACAAGGATCTGCTTCATTAGACATAAACTAACACCCAGGTGGTGTATGAGATAGTTTAACAACGAATCAATGCACTTTTGTAGCCTTAAAAAAAGCACCACCCGAGCAGGTACAAGACGTCAACAAGACGTCTGATTGACGATGCACCCCAACATCATGGGATGTTGCATTTCGTTTGGAAATAAAAATCAGGTTGGCGTCAATGTCCCACAACAAAATATCAACATCTAATAATGTTACAGATCGACGCTTTGTGGACATTACCAATGTGTTGTCTATTAGACACTGGAATTTGATTGCCATACCTGATGAATAATTGTCAGTATTTGACATCTGTTAAGATGTTGACTTAAAGATGTTTTCCAACACAATCTAAAATCAACAAAACAACGTAATTTCACGTTATTGTTGGACATAAAAATAGCATTGTCCTTAGACATTGGTGACCTAAGTCTAACCTAATATTAACATCTTATGACGTTATGTTCGCTAGGACTCAACACCATCATGGAAAACATAAGAGCTAGGATAAAACTTAAAACTCTGCATTGGTTTGAAAAAGAAAGCTTACTTGAGTATGAGTAAATTAAGAGATCATAATAATTTTTGCATGAAAATAATAACATTCACAATAACATACATTTTAAAAACTATATTTTCACTTCATAACAAAGTGAATATTTAATGTCAAGTTTATCGTATTTACAGCCTCAAAACAGATGTAAGCTGACACATATTTGCTGTCTCATTGTTTTTGTTGCTTCTTCCTCTCACACATTTTGCCCTTCTGACCCATTCATTAAATAACCAAGAGCACTTCTTGTTCAAAGTCACATCCTGCAGTCTTGACTGTGTGTGCTGCAGTGATTTTGTTGTAAAAACATAAGCTTTACTGGAATTCTGCACATGACTGCCACATGATGCTGTCTGGATAGCAATACCAATAAGTGGTAACGTTAGACCACTAATGAGCTGTGGTATGATGCCTGCAATGCTGTCTAGACAGGTACATGCAGTGTGTAATAAGAAGATCCAAACTTTATACACTACACAGCCAGAAGCAGCACTTGAAGGGCTGTCACTGATGTTATCAACAACTGTGCTGCTGACTTTAGGTTACTCACCTGCATCAGAACCTAAAATGTCGTGCAGGTGTCATTCGCTTACCATACTTTACTACATGTTTCGTATTCAAATTGAGTTTTAAATGTCTTTGGGTTCGTTTCTAAATTTAATAACACTAGCTTACTGTCATTTCTCATGAAGCAATTATGCGTTCACTAGCAATGAAGCTAACAGATGTTGTGTTTCTAAACCTAGTGTGTTGACTTCCTTAGCAGCCTTTCTGGAAAACATTCGAACGTGACTGTGATGTCCCAATGTGCTGTCTAGATAGGAGGCTCGCTCGGTTCTGAGAGAGACATTTAGAGTCCAGTTAAATCTCGAAACGACTGGTTCCGTCGGAGAATCAAATTCCTTAACGCTCCTAACGGTCAAGAGATCATATTGAGCTCTGCCGGAAAAATTCGTGATAATTACATATATCACAAACAAACAAGGCAGTCATTTTTACATACCTTAAGTCCTGCTACTCCCTGCTTCCAACCTCACTCAACCTTGGTTGTTCCTTTAAGATAAGGCACTGTTGCCAAACCTGCTCCTTGCGCTCACTGTAATTGTAGTTCTTTGTCTAAAGAAAACGAATGTCATTGGTGTTCTATATTTTTAACGTGACTACATTACCCACAATGCCCATGTACGGCGACCGAGGGGCTCGAATAGGTTAAGAATAGTGTTGCAGCGACGTTCAAAGGCACAACAGCGTAACTGCAAGAGGTTATTTAAAGGGAAAAACAGGACTGATTTTGAAATGTATAATGACGATGATTTTACCAGTCATGGGTTGCAGCTGAGTGGGCATCCGCTGTGTAAAACATATGCTGGATAAGTTGGCGGTTCATTCCGCTGTGGCAATCCCATATTGGGACTAAATCAAAAAGAAAATAAATAAATGAATGATGATGATAATAATAATAAATTCTCAATTATTTTATGAATCTGTCTCGTCATTGTGCATTTAACATAGGGCTATGTGTAATGGCTATGGTTTATCAATTCAATTCAATCCAATTCATCTTTATTTCTATAGCACTTTTACAATGTAGATTGTGTCAAAGCTGCTTCACATAGAATGTAGCATACTAATGTAGCATACTAAGAAGTGTATAATTAATTTTGTACGATTATTACAAATTATTAATCATATTATGTCTGCAGATTGTTCAACGTAAAGTCAGGTACATTGTCTAGAGTACTTGCAGGGTTATTACTTATCATAATACTGGGAATGGCAGGTCAAAAAACATACTGACATTAATGACAAGCCTTTCCATCTTTGTTCTCGTTTTGCTGTAATAATGAAATAACACATTAAATTAACTCTTTATAAAGCATTCAAAAATCAGCGGGGTTGAGAATATTTTAACAACATACAGAAAATAATAGCAATTTTTTAAAATATTGACACAAATTTTTAAAATTTTCATATAAAAAGTTTGGTCATTTTATAGAAATATGTTATGGCGATTGTGTATAGATAATTTTTTGTTGTCTGTAATCTTATTTAATGAAGCACATTTTCAGAGTCAGTAATCATGGTGTTTGTCCAAATACAGCAAACCAAACAAACAAAAAAATAGCTTAAAGATTACATCAATACTGCTTCATCAGCAGGAGTGGACTTAACCAATACGCCAGGTAAGCAGCCGCTTAGGACACAGACAGACACACAGTTGAAAACAATTGTTATTCAGATATTTCCCATAAGTGCTGTTTAAGGGAGAGAAAGATTTGTCAACACACTAATAACTTTCCTAGAACTGGGTTGTAGCTGGAAGGGCATCTGCTGTGTAAAACATATATTGGATAAGTTGGCGGTTCATTCCGCTGTGGTGACCCCTGATAAATAAAGGGGCTAATCCGAAAAAAAAAAAAATATTTGAATGAACTTTCACTTTTTCCACATTTTTTTATGTTACAGCCTTATTTCAAAATGGATTAAATTAATTTATTTCCCCAAAATTCTACACACAATACCAATGACAATGTGAAAAAAGATTTTTTGAAATTTAAAGCTCTAAATTGAGCTCAGGTACATTCTGTTTTCACTGATCATTCTTAAGATGATTCAGCGGCTTAATTGGAGTGCACCTATGGTAAATGCAGTTTATAGGACATGACTTAAAAAGGCAAACACCTGTCTATATAAGGTCCCAGGGTTGACAGCGCATGTCAAAGCACAAACCAAGCATGAAGACAACGGAATTGTCTGTTGACCTTTGAGACATGATTCTCGAGCCACAGGGCTGGGCACAAGGCTGTTACAGAAAACTATCTGCTGCTCTGAAAGTTCCAATGAGCACAGTGGCCTCCATCATTCGTAAGAAAAAGATCTATGAAACCACAAGACATCCGAAGGACTCTCAGACCATAACAAACAAAATTCTCTGCTCAAATGAGACAAAAATTGAACTCTGGAGTAAATGCCAGGCATTATGTTGGGAGAAAACCAGGCACCGCTCACCACCAGGCTAATACCATCCCTACAGTGAAGCATGGTGGTGGCAGCATCATGCTGTGGGGATGTTTTTCAGGAGCAGGAACTGGAAGACTAACCAGGAAAGAGGGAAAGATGAATGCAGCAATGTACAGAGACATCCTGAATGAAAACCTGCTTCAGAGTGCTCTTGACCTCAGACTGGGACGGTTCATCTTCCAGCAGGACAATGACCCAATGCACACCGCCAAAATATCAATAAAGCGGCTTCACAAAAACTTGGTGAGTGTCCTTGAGTTGCCCAGCCAGATCCTATTGAACATCTTTGGAGCGATTAAAAAATGGCTGCCACACCATAATTTTTCGGGTTTTTATATCTTTTTTCACATTGTCATTATGGGGTATTGTGTGTAGAATTGAGGAAATAAATTAATTTAATCTATTTTGGAATAAGACTTTAACATACAAAAATGTGGAAAAAGTGAAGCGCTATGAACACTTCCTGCATGCACTGTAGATCAAACTGTAGGTGTCAAAGTCAATTGCTGGAGGGCTGCAGCTCTGCACAGTTTTACTCCAACCCTAATTAAACAGCTGATGCAAAGAATCGAGGTATTCAAGATTCAGCTGTTTCTGATTAGGATTGGAGCAAAACTGTGCAGATCTGCGGCCCTCCAGCAATTGACTTTGACACTTGTGCTATAGATAGACAAAGAGTATACAGTAGGCTGTAAAATAAATAATAATAATAATACATTTTATTTAAAGGCGCCTTTCTAGCAACTCAAGGACACCGTACAATCAACAAGAGCAATAAAACAAGAGAAATAATAAAATATAAACAATAGTGCAGATAAAAAAATAAAAATTAACATAACCCTAGATGGCAGCAGACCACAATAAGCCAGATCTCTGCACTAAATGTCAGTTGTAAGCTTATTTTCATGCGGTGCAGTAATTTGCATTTCTATTATTGAGCACAGTAAATGCTTTATTCTTGACACATGAAAATGAGAAACCAACACAGGTCACTGCACTGAACAGAATACTTCATCTCACACACATGATTTTAGTTAGCTTTGTAGTAAAACGTCAGTAAAATGACACACAAACACTTGATGAGCCAGCTTTAAAGGCATAGTTTCATAGTTCAAAACATACTTAAGTTCCTTTCTTCTGTTGAACACAAAATAAGATATTTTAAAACGCATAAAGATATAAAACTACTTTGGAAAGAGTACATTCATTTTTGGGTGAACTATCCCTCCAATTCATTCATTAGTCCTCAACCATATAGTCCTAAATCTAATTTAGGGTGAGCAAAAACAACTTGCCAGTGCCAAGTTGATAATGTCAGATTGAAACGACTGTCGGAATACGCCCCCTTGTGGCAGTATTACAGAATTTTTGTCATGCACCATGGGAAGCTGATTCTCGTGGTGGTGTCCGAAAAAAAAGGGCAAAAATCTTTATTCTCCGTGCGTTCACCATGGCTGAATAAATACTAAAAACTCATCGTAGACTGCTAACAATTTTGCAGGGAATGTTGAGACAACATTAATAATAATAATAACAATAATAATAATAATAATTTTGATTACTCATTTATGAATAGAAATGCCTTTTTTAATATAGACTTTTTTTCTGATTAAACAAATAACGAAAAACTACTAATTTCTTATCTCGCGCACATAGACCTGCATTGGACAACACTGGAATACATCACATCACATACACAGGCCCGTAGCCAGCCTGGTGAAAGGAGTGATTCTTTTTTTGTGGACCTTTTTACAGTTATTCGCCTCATTGTCTTTTTAAAGTAGTGACATTTTAACCACACTTTTTAATGTACTAAAATATTTCTTAAAGATTGTGAATGATAAAATGTGGATAAAATTTTTTTAAATGCTAATTTATTACACTATATATATACACTATATGTATATATACACACACACACACACACACACACACACACACATATATATATATATATATATATATATATATATATATATATATATATATATATATGTGTTGATGTATAGTGTAATAAATTAGCATATATTTATAATCTGTTAAAGTTTTAAATTAAAAACTGTTGTCTATTGTCAATTGCTGCAAGTAACAAATTGACTGGTACATTCGACTTTCCTCAGTTAGAATTTGCCCTTTTGAATAATAAAAAGATAATTCATACGGTCATTTTTGTGTTTCAAGAATAAGGTCCCAGATTTAGAATAAAAGTTACATGTAAAATGTTCTCTCTATTTAACAACACTACAGTAGCAAAAGATTACTTCTTTTCTTACGCAGCCAGATGTTGCACTCATAAAAAAAATTATTGTTTGCATTGGACAAAACTGATTAGCTGATGTCACACTGGTGTGACGATTAACATTCTGCTTGGTCTTAAAGCCTTTTTTCATGGGCTATAGGTTATTTTCACTACTTATGATGGTGTAGCAAATGTTTGGGACTAATTTTGGACTTATGTCAGTGAGAGGTGGGTCTTTCTAACCACCTGAACTCCTCCTGGCTACGGGCCTGATACGGTTTAGTCACAGGAGTTCAAATATTTTAACGGATCCACAGCTCAAATCCGGTCTGAATTTTCCGCATACGGAGATGATCAGAGCTCCCAGATTAATCTCCATGGGAAATGAATGACAAGAAGGGATGTAAACAAAAAAGTCATTAAAAGCTGAATATAAAATTTCAGGCACACTGTAATCAACTGACATTCATATCATATTCCTGAAAGCTAACACAATGCATAGATTAAATGATTTTAAAACTCAGATAGCATTACGACTAAAAGCAGCAATGGCGATATCAAACCATACAGACTTTAAACTATACACACTTAAATCAAACTGGCTACATTTAATGACTGAATATTTTTTTTGAATCTAAGCCGAATCTATCCGTTTTTAACAAATTGTTAAAAAGAGCTCCATATTTATTTGGCAGTGTACCCAGTAGACACAAGACGTCAACATGATGTCAGATTGATGCTGTACCCCTACTTCGTGGTTGGCATTGCATTTCATTTGGAAATGAAAATCAGGTTGA